TCGCAAACATTTCTATGTTCAGTCACGGGATATTCAACTCTTGTTTAATTAAACTTAATTGAAATGCAATTCTCCATTGTATTGCATTGTAATTGAGTTTAATTAAACTCCAATTAAAACGCAACCCCATATATAGGAACGCGTTTTAATCGAGTTCATATCGCAACTATATTAAAAGTTAATTCAACTATATCAAAAGTTAATCCAATGAAGTCCTCGGAACATATAGCAATACAAGTATGTGTGTGTGTCATTTGTAACATGACTATTTACGAGGTGGAGTATTTCCAATGGTAGTCGAAATATAGTACAATATTATATCGTGCATCGCTGAAATCATCTTTAATTCCATCACTTCCACATTGAATAAATGTTCATTTGCACCTGGACAGTACTCAAATCATAATAAATTATATTGATATTGGGTGTGGGTGATATTACCCACAGTTATGAGATCGGCATTGTAACAACTAGGGTATGCGTAATAAGGAATACGTACTTTAATAAAATTTCTTAATATTTTTGCCCGATTCTATTGGTGCATTACTGTTGTTAGTAGTTCATTAGTTAGGAAATTTACAATTGAAAAACGGCATCTTTCAAGCTGCACATGAGGGAAAGCGAGATGTTTATAAGCGGAAGACTTAACAGAAAGCTGAAAAGCCTTCTCCCACATTTTTTTACAAAAAATAAATAGTTAGATTTTAATACTGAGTGATTCTTACCTCCTTCCATCTTCTTCTACTGTCTAAATTCATTAAAACAATCTTCGCGTTTTTCAGGAAACCTTCTTTGTCGAACGCAATGTGCTTTTCTTTAAGTCCCGCTTTAACAACAGTTTTTTGAAAGTAATACATAGAGGTATTATTTTTCCTGTCCCGATGGATATCGTCTGAACAGTTTTCCTCGTTAATGACAGGTAAATGGTTATGGGCGCTAAGGTATGTCTCCAGCCCGTTCAAATATATAGACGTCGCATCCTTGATGGAAACGTCGTCATTGTAATCTCTACTATAAAACTTGACCCCCAATAAACCCGTAGGAAACTCGTCCGGCACTTCGTTCATATCTTTCCCAAAGACAGGCTCCGTGACCAACCACACATAACCGTACCCAAGTAAATTATATTCAGATGCGTAAGAAAATATCTGTTTTGCTTCTTCGTGCGACGCGTAGACTAGTAAAATTTGGCAATCGTGGTCGTCGATTTCCCAAAATTGACTGGTGATGTTCCCTTGTAAATCCAACGGGAACGACTTGCAGACTTCCCAGGTTGTGTTGTGGCTGTCATCGTTGGAGATCTCCGCCGTCAACGACACTAAAATCGTCATGAACTCTTTGTAATCGGGCGTAGCCGTGCTCGTGACGATTGAAAAATGGTACCAGCTGTGATACTCTAGGAATGCCATCATAGCTCGACATTGCTGTACTAAAGTAGCTCCTATCTGAAGAAATGGCATGGTATCGTCCTACAAATCGATAGCAGAAAACAAAAAAAGCATTATTTTGTTATTGGCTGTGAAAAACTAGAGGCATGATACGTGCGTCATAAGTTGAGTGGTAGCAGTGAAAATAGCGAAGTGTTTATGCTACTATTTTTTGTAAAAAAATATTACAAGAAAATGGATGTCTGAAACACAAAATGTCCTGTATAATTTACACAGTTTATTTTGCTCTCTATATTTGTGTAACAATCTATATATAAAATAAATGCGTTTTGAAAACGGTGTATAATTATACAAATTACAGGGTCAATGGCAGTGAAAATTTCCGCTCCACACTGATTTTGTCCGCTTCATGTATAAACGTGGCAGGTTCACTGGTATCGATAATGATAGAATACAACTCGAGTCCGCTGGGTTCTTTATATATATGCTTAGCCCGTGTGCTCAGCTAACGACATTCACATCTATGTGGCATAACGTGTGCTTTTATTACAGGTTGTCCATAATTTTGCAGCGATATTATACCCAATGTGACACGATCTCACTGCCCCGCGCGCACAGAAGTTGCCGTTCATGTTTGTTATATTGCAGCGACAAACTTGGAATCCGATCTACTGTGCATACTGCAAAGAATACGCTCTGCACACTGGCATGCCTTTCCCAGACGCACAACTTGAACACATTTTAATATTCTCGAAACATTTATGCCCAAATTCAGAATCATACAAGTTGTAATACTCAAATATGTTATGCATATGATTGGATTTTATAAAAACAACATTGGTTTAATTTACAATGAAAGCTATCGATAGTTCTAAGTACCATCCAAGAACTATTGTTCTGTTGTTAACGTCATTCTGTGGGTGACAGTAACCCCAATTCAGTATATTGTATATCCTCCTTCTTTAAGTCCACGTGATTGTAGCTTCATACCATTTCTAAAACCGGACACCTTTTAAATTATTTTCATTCTATGGTATATTGTATTTTCTGAAAAATAGTTTTCTTTTGAAAATCCAAAACGCGTGTTACTTGACTTTAGCCAAAAATACATTTTTTGGGCCGAGTGGCCACCTACTGATTCTACCGGCTATAGGAAGTGACAGTTAGGACTCGGAGATTACTCATTTCTGGCACATGTGCGCTTTCGTTCGATTGGACACGCTCGAGCAACTGACCACGAGTTCTGTCAGGTTTTGCATCATCGAATGTCACAAACGTGTTCATTTTGTCACCCATGTGGACATCAGAGTACCGCCACATAATATAGAACTTGGACGGTTAATAAAACTGCTACCTTTATTGACGTATCTACGTAATGTAACCAAACTCTCTAATTTGATCGTGACCAAATTAACCGCACATCTTTTCGAGTGATAAACGGTAGTGGTAACTATGACTTGAATGATTACTTTAACAGTGATTACTAAATTACGTCAATGTTATAAACTGGCCAATGTCTCGTTTGTAAAAACATCAAAGTGACGCCTACTACGACATAAGTTAGTTTGACTTAGATCGAACTAACTCAAATTAGATGTCCTTTAGAAGATGACTTAGAGAATACTAGTTATATCATATTGAATGCTTGCAGGGACAGTCAAACAATCTATAAGGAATATACATGCACGGTGACGAACCCTCAACCAGATTGTCAGATTGAAAAAAAAATGATCAATGTTTGTACATCGGCGCAATTAAATTTATAAGATGCAAATTGGATAATATACATGACATCAACAACAAAAATCACAAAAGAGTGCGAAGGCGTAAGAGCCTGGAGTAAAATAGTTGAATTTTTACAATATAGTTTTATTTTATTTATTTATTTTATTATTTAGATAAACAATATGGGCCACGGGGAGAGTTCTTCTATGGTAAAAGATTGTGTTACCTATAGCGAGAAATGTAAATGTAAGATGGATTCACCTGATTGTCACCGATTATCCGTAAATTTTGAAAAATAATATTTTTTTGGGTGAAATTACACGTTTACATAAAAATCCTATGAACATTTATTTCTTCTAGAAATGTCGAAACCATTGGATTGGGGGGGGGGGGGAACCAAAAAGTTGTTGTCAATACTAGGCAATTTTTGAAAAAAATATAAATTGTGAACAATGTGTCACCTATCTTTTATCAAGTCGAAAGCCAGAGAAGCATGGGATTCGTTTTCATTTTGATGCATAAAATAAGAATAATATGTAAATATATTAATGTCGACAGAATACATATCACAAGTATATGTATAGATTTGTTGAGTTATGCGTGAATCAAAACTCCCAGGCCATAATGTTCAGATAAAGAAAGCATGCTGAGATGAGCGTTTCAGATTATTGTTTAGAGAATATATAAATCGATAATAACCTCATCGGGACCTACATGACTCGTGTCAGGGAAATAAACAACATATGACGGTGGCGTGAAAGCTACATCCATTATAATTATCATTTTTTTGCAAAAATAATAAAAGAAAAGACTCTGTCAATGTAAATGCAATGTCTGGCTTGTATATGTCGGATATGACGTGTTTTTACAGGGAATTACTTAACAGAAAAATATAGACAGGCATATTGCAAAGAAACACGAATAATAAAATGAATGTGCTATTTGGAATTTGAAAATACGCAGTATGTTACAGTACAATTCATTTGTTTTTCTTCAATGAGCTAATTTAAAAGCCTATTTGACGAAGGGGCTGTTAGAGGGCAAGAAGGTCGTCACAGTTACAGGTTATCAAAAACGGAACATCATCAAATTCCTCATTTAGAATTCATATAGTCACAGAAATGCAGAGAATACCCCTGACTTACGTGTGGAAGGTCAACATGCCGATTCTAAATGGACGTCAGGTGAGATTATTCGCTCGATAATGCGTTTTTATTTATATACATATATTATCAGCAATCATTGAAGAATTGGAAATTATAACGACATACAAAACACGGCGAACGTGTAACTTGGTGTGAAAGTGGACAACGTCTCTTAGGCGTATTGCCAAACAACAAAATTAATACATTTCGTAATGCTGCGAAAATTAACGTATTCAGTGCAATTACGACAAACAGAGAGATTGTACTCGCAAACAAATATATACTATACAATTCGTAAAGATGAATAATTTCGTTTACTGTATTATTAAAAGAAGTACAGAAGGAGGTCATATTCATATTCAATACAGGATTATAATTTCGCATTGAAATTAGATTATATCTTAGTGGCAATCTTGTTATTGGTCGTATTAACCACATTGCATACATGGCATTGCATGTATCAAGGACACTGCCAGTATATTAGTAGCTTAACATAGTATGCGGAACAATAACCTACGATATACGTATAAACCTAATAATAATGTTTCTTCAAACGTACACTATTGGATGAAAAGTAAATTTAATTGTCAGGTGACGTGTGACCCGCAGGCGAGTAAATGTACGACATAATAATGTATACGAATCTAAAAACGGAGAAGATACGGTTATTATTTTTACCAGTGGATGACAAACACACATGGGCATTGAGTCGACAGCGAGAGGGAACGGTCCATTTTTGATGTTCGTTAGAGTGTCATTTTGTGTTTTCTCCCAATTCTCTCTCTGAATGTTAAGAGTAGTATTTACAAGCACGCTGGAATCAAAGCCATTTTTGTACCACCAAGATAGAAGGAATGCATGCATACTGAAACATCGTGACATAGATTATTTTCACTTTACTAGTTAAATACGGTACTGGTTTACTACCGTAGTACTCATGTTGTTACCTCCAAGACGGAGGTTATGTTTTTGCTGGCAAAGGTGTGATTGTGTGCAAGCCGGATAACTAAATATGTATGCATGGATTCTCATAAAATCTTCAGAATAGTTTATCCTTAACACAGTTTTGAATCCATCAAATTTTAGTACAGATGTGGGTTCGGTTGTCAATTTCGGGAATATTTATTTATAACTCAAAAAAAGTTATTCTCATGATTTGTTTAGAAGAGGCTACTCTCGAGAAAAGAACCAATCTATGAAATTCTGGTAGAGCCATTTTGGAAATGAATTTTCATTGATAACTCAAAAAGTTATCGACTGACTTCCAGAAAAGAGTGTCCTTGAAAACAACGTTTTCTTAGATCCTAATCTAATAGCCATAGAAACAGAAAGCGTATG